ACAAGGTCAGCAGTCAAAGGCTACTTGTCAAAACAGCTGGGTTGACTCTGAGTTATCCAAGAGGATTCCATACCAAAGAATAAAGTTGCTGTAAAAGTTTATTTTTGGTTGCTTGTGAGGAAGGTATAACCAAATTGGAAGGAGTTGTTCAAGGCTCCTGTACATTTCCTTTGATTATTTTTCATAGTGAATTAAAGTAAGAAAGGAAGGTGAGCAAAAAGCTTCATAGAAATGCTGTTTAATCTGAGAAAGTCTTAAAACTTAACTTCAGAGGTTTTTTTTTTTTTTTTTTTTTTTTTTTTTAATAGTACTCACTTTGAAATGTCTAAGCTTTCCACTGTTTTCCAGTACCCAAACTGGAGTCTTACAGACAGTGTGTCCTCTGATTGGGTTGCTTCACAAAAGACATTAAAATCATCCTGAAAGAAACATGATAATTTACAAAAATAAATACCATGTGAATTTTAAGTTTAAGCTTTGTGTAACAAGTGAAATTACTTCAGATCCAGGAGCATAAAGAGAACATTATAAAGCATTCAGGGACACACTGATAAGGACAAGGCAGCTGGGCTGAAGGGTGTTGGGGGGTTGAAACAAAGTGCTGGTGCAGTTCTCAGAACTTGTCCTTTTACGGCATGCAGGTGTCACACCAGGTTAAAGACATTATTTGATAACGGTTTAGCTCAATGCTGAGAACAAGACCATTATATTAGCACCTCTGAGGCAGCACAGTGCTGGAGATACAATATGTGTGGTTAGATATTCTATTAAATATGGTGTTGGTTGGTAGGATCCATATAGCAGTCGGGTTTTAAATATATAACATGAAACAAAGCCCCTCTCAGTATTATCACTGCTTTTGCCCCTGTGTTGCTGGATTTACCTGCTCTTTTAGGGAAACCTATTGTATAAGTAGAAAGAAGGCACTGTTAGGAGGTATATGAGAACCTATTTCCCCTGCTGCCTGACAGAACTTTATAGGCTCATTACAAGGCTTTTTCTAGTGTTTTCATCCTGTTAAGTAGGAAATAGTGTGAGGATGAGAAGAATATTATGGTACATTTGCTAGATATTTATTCTTTCAAGTTTCCATGGGATACCCTGAACACTTTATTTCATTAGATACTGTGGCAAAACAAAACTATTTTAATGCACAGAATAGGATTGGCTCTTCTCAGATATGTTTATTACAAATTAAAACATCAAATAAGATTGTTTCAGTTTTTTAAAATGATGGCCAACAGATAAATACTGTCAGTTGTGATTTTTTTCTTTTTTGTCTGTTTTCCCTTCCTCCCCACAGCAAAATACCTACATGGAATGCATATTTCTGACTTCTCTTTATTCCTGGTGTTATTTCCAGGAGTATTTTTAATGGTGTATTCCACCAGGTGGCTCTCAAGGCCCAGAATGTGAGAACTACTTGGTGTACCTACCAACTAAGAGGACTTGGGATCATTTAGGGCACTGCAGAAAACTGAAATCTGTTCTTATAGCATGTATCCAACCTGAAAAACACAAGAGCAATCAATACCTTAATCAAATTAAACAAAAACTGCAAAGAGGAGTTGTAATGATTCTGAAAAAGTATTACTTTTAAACACACAACATAGAAGTACTTCAGTATCAGGTAGGTACTAGAGAACAGGGAACACTGCAGCAAGAGTCAGGAGATCTCCATCTAGTTCTTTGATTATTATTTAGCTCTCTTCTGAAAAGTTATTCCTGGTCTCCAGTTCTCCTTTTGAAAGAGCGTTTGCTGCCTTGCGCTTACAAAACCCTTACTAAACCTCTGTGCAGCATTAGTAGTTGCAGCTTTTCTTAGAGGACCTTGAACTTAATCATGTTTTTGAATGACACTAGGCAATGTTCCTTTGTAGCATAACTTTTCCGTGCACATTTTTAGTACTCTTTCATGGTGATGCAGCTGGAGTCTGTTTGCATTCCTGTCATCCAAAGGAGGCACTTCTGCTCTAGGAAAAGGCAAGCTAATTAACTCAGCCCAGCAGGCCTGCCGACTGTTGCGGTCAAAGAGTGACTCAGTTGGCTTTCCAGGCTCTTTGGATGGCAAACCACTGACACTTTCAATGGCTGGGCAGTTTAAAATTAAAAAATGAGTAACTCACTATAGATAAGTTTGACAAGCCACCTCCATATGCTGTATTAATTTTCTAGAAGTTTATTCTGTATCCAAATAAAAATGGGGTTTATTCTCATGAATATTCTCTAAAATTAGATATCAACCTGTTCTGGCCAAATTTTCTTGTTTCATTAACATATAGGCTGTCTTGGAAAGAAATTCCTGGAATGTGGAGGTGGCAAATGGAATCCATAAAACTAGTTCCATCATGGATTATATCCTTGAAAACTCAGTTTGAGCTACAGTGTATATTTCTTTTGTCTCTGCTTGTTTACTCTAAAGGCCAAAACCTAATTGGTCCAAGTGGCTTGTGGAAGAAGAATATCACAAGATACCCAAACTGCATTTAGTTTCCTGCCATGAGCAATCAGGCTATTTTGCAGTAATTTGTTACAACCCTACATGCAGGCTGAGACGTAGCAAGTCTGAATCCTTTCAGAAAGTTCCTGCAGTCCTTTGACTTTACTGTGCAACATCCAGTTTTAGTGGGAGAGAAATTTCACAGGGGATTGGCAAAATCTCTTTGGATGAACGGGGGGTAATCAGAAGCACAATAGGATGAAAGAAGACTGCTTAAAATACAGGAACAAGTAGGGTGTAATAGGAAATGGGACATGTCCTCATTCTTCCAGCAGTACTTTGAGGCCTAAATTTGTCCATGAACTCTTGTAAGAGGAAAAAAAAAAAATCACAAAGCAAACGTGAAAGTTCTTTCATATCAGCTTTTGAAAGTCTTTCATAAGTTCTTTTGTATTCTTGCTAGGGTGGCTAACTTTACAGAGTGACTTGGGAACTGACTTCCTTTCCTCACCCTTTTTTCCTCCCTTTGGCTTTAAGCCTTATTGCTGATTTTCTGTTTCAATAATTTCTATGGGCTCTTTTATTCTTAGCTTTTTCTTACATTAACTTGCAATTCTGTTAGTTTAGAACCAATTTTTATTTAGTTAATAATTTTTAACTGTCAAAACACTAGTGAAGGGAAATTTATAGCATATTTTATGTAGCATTCAAAGTCTCCAAACAAAACATCTGCTTTCCAGGGCAGAAAATGAAGATTATGCCTGCATTTGAAAAGCTAGGCAACAGATAATTCCAGAAGGAAAAAGGCATCCCTGTGTTTTGGATACGCAGTGACATTTATCTTCCTAACTTGTTTCCTCTCCCAGTTGCTATAATTTTGTCACATTATATCTAAGCAGGGTGAAAGCTACCTCCATTGGCCCCGATACCCATTTTAAAAGCAACTCCTGGTCTAGTAGCAACTGGCATGTATTAGAGTCCCATTTACCAAAAATACCAAACTAAATTATACCAAGTACAGCACTTAACATCTAGTCATTCTTCAAGCTTCTCTTTTAAGCAGAAAAAAATAACTTGTCAACTGCCAAAATGCCTTTATTACAATAGAATATGAAGCTGTGGATTCTGTAAAGTGACACACTATCATTTGATGAGCTGTTTTAATAATTACTCAGGTTTTTTTTGGAAATTGGAAAGCTTGGGCTTAAAACTAACTGCAAAGCTGTTCTTGTGTCTCCCTGGAAGATGAATGCAAAGGTGTTTGCTTCATGTCAGTAAAGCCTAATATCAGCTAACGCAAACAGGATAGAGATACCTGCTGCAACACAACTGCACTATTACCATTAAGTGTTGCAGGGCAAGCAGAGATCCACATCTGCAGGTGTTCATGAGATAAGTGTGGGAAAGCAGCTTCTGCGTGCCACTGGAACTGGGCTGTACTGCTTAAGAGCAATTGAAAAAGCTGTGAAAGAATGAAAATCTTTCAAGATTGCTGATTTTGGCTAGCTGTATTGGTAGTCTCTTCCATATTTATATGAAGCTAGTGCTCCAAGAATACAAAGTTTAGAGTCAAGGTTTGTTTGGTGTTGCCATCCCCCAGCCCCAAGGTGACGTGGATAGCCTTACTACAGAATAGCTGCTGACTGAAGACCAATTACTCTGAAAACTACTGTCATCCAAATTAAACAGTCAAACTTTCTTAACCTGGAAAAAACATATAGATGGGGCTTTTTTTTTTTTTGCTCCTCCCCACTCCCATTTTAAAATGACCCCTTAAGATCTCTGAAAACCAATATACTTGTTTTTAACTCTTCTTATGCCCCAAAAAATTCTAGATAATTTAATATATAATTGACCTGTGTTTTAAAGCATCCATAGGTTTGTCCAGCTTGAACAAGACATGCTGCCCTTTCCAGCAAGGTATAGACGGGATGCTCCGCTACTGACTATAATTCAGCTCCACCAGGTGGCTGTCCTGCTGTGAGGGTGTTCTGTGAAGGTCGCTACCAGCACACGAAGGGCAGCATTTAACATTACATCACCAGAGCATTGACTTGGATTTTAATTGTCAAACTCCTACATGGAATTTAATGGGAATTACAAGGGAACTGTAGTATCTTGGTTTGTTTTCTCCTCAGGTTTTGGTCACAGTCAGTTGTTTACATCTGAACAAACACATGAGGTTTGTTTCTGCTATACTAAAGTCTAGGTGTTCTCTCCATACATCCTGGTTACAGGTAGCAAGTTTGAGGCTAACACTTGAAAATGCATTTCCAGGAAAAAAAGCCTTGCTTTCTGAAGAGCTTCTGTACCACATCTTATTTTGAAAGCTAGAAAATAAACTCTTTTGAAATTAAGCTCTTTTGAAAGGTAAATAATAAACTCTAGGACAGAGTAACAAATTGAGTTTGAATTTTTAATGATCTTAAATATATACTGTTTTATTACAGTAAGTAAAGATGGCTCTGTGTTGGCATTGTACCAAGCTTCTGTAAGCACATTATTTTCTTGATGCTGGTTTTATCATGTCTCATTCATTTTCTTTTATACAGGTATCACAGGAAAAGATGACCTTACTGTGGGTGCTACTACGAACGGAGGAGTGAATTTTTACCCCTGGACAATAGATAATAAATATTACTCTGCAGATATTCACCTCTGCGTAGTACCAAACACATTTCTTGTCACTGGAGATATTGCTGAATCTGTGCAAGCGTTTGTTATATACTTCGACAGCACAATAGTAAGACTCTTATGCTTCATTATATTGCTTTATCTGTATGACATCATTGCCTTATCACAGTGATAGCCACAAATTACATTCTCATCTTGTGCCATCCATTCCTTTTAGGCTGTTCTATTACTTGTCAGTAGATCAATGTTAAATTCTGCCTGCTATCAATGGAAGCAGTTTCCTTCCCTTTTCCTATCATACTCTAGCTGTAAGAGTTTTTCAGGGTGCAAATATGCCACTAATTTAAGCAAATCCTCCTCCAGCTTTACTCCTAGCTGATGCCAGTTCAGAAAGGCTGCTTTAGGATAGCTAAACATAAGATTCAGTGCTATCATTTTATCTGGAATTGTTTCTAAGCTAGCAGCAGTGAAAACAGTGCTGTAGCAAAAGCCAGAAGGATTCTGAGACCAAAAAAAGAAATCTAAATAAGGAGCTGTTTTTCACCACAGATGGGAAGGGATGCATGCCACACATTCTGCAAAGATACCTTTAACCAGACATCTCAGGGCTGGCTCAGAATAAACTGGAGCAATGGGAGTAGGTCACCAGCCCCCATAACATCCGCTTCAGTGTGGATGATGTGCATTAAACCCCAGATATGCTTAAAATGAAATTCTCATGATTAGCCTTAAGTAGCAATCTTTCCTAATCTACACTAGGATTGCATAATTAATATACCCATGAAAGTGAGGTCCAAGGCAGTAGGGTTAAGTCATCTGTAAGATAAGTCAAGAATCAGAAGGAAGTTTTGTTCAAGTCAATTTCTGATTAGAACACAAGTGTCTTAAACATTCTTGATACACAGCCTAGCATATTTCCTTACTTCATCTTATTCTAATACTATTAATGATTTACAACTATGTTAAAAACTAAAGTATTTGATGATGTATTCCAAAGAACTTTTTTTTTTCTCCCTTTAGAAATCTGGACTTGATAGTGTCTCTGAATGGCTTCCCCTGACAGAAGAGTGGTTACCAGAAGTCATGATCCTGGTTTGTAACAGAGTATCTGAAAACGGTATGAAACCCAAAGAAGTCCCAAACTGACTTAGATTTATTAACCTTGCATAATAATTTATTTTCTAGTTAAATCAACACAATTGCTTCCTAAAACAGCTGTGTGAGACTGGGCTTGAGATTTGATTGAGAATAGCCAGGGTTACTCTTGTGTCCAGGAACAGAAGTCTTAAGCCAGTCGTGGTTAAAACTGAATCAGAATTTTACAGGGTTGCTTAAAATGAGCTGTGTGTCCCATTCCTAGTATAGCAGCACGTACTGGAAGTTAACTAAGCAGGCATTCATATTCCTGGATGTGCACAATCCTTTCTGTTAAGGAATGAGGATGACTCTTGGTTGCTTAACTACACTGGAAAGCACGTTCATCTTTTTTGACCATTTAAACATTAAATGTTTGCTTTGGTTCTGGATTAGTGTATGCAATACAGCAGCAAACTGTAAGGTGCAGGTATGTCCATGTCACTTAATTCAGATTCAAACCTAGAGTTAATGGGAGTCTTCATTCACTGTGGCACTTCACTTATTTCCCTTTGAGCACCCACTGCAAAGCCATTTGATTTTACGGTATATGAAAAAAAAATCAAAGGAGGAGTTTAACTCTGGAGTTTTTGTAATCAAAGTGAATGGAGGACCCACACCAGCTACTATATACTTTTCCCCCCATACAATCCAAAATAAGCAAACAACTTTGAGGGAATAAAATGTAGCTAAAGATTCAGCTGCTGATATTAGTCTCAAATGTGTATGTTCAGTATGCATTTTTATTTCCCAACTTTAGGTGTTAACAGACAGAAAGCTCAAGAATGGTGTATCAAGCATGGCTTTGAACTGGTAGAACTTAGCCCTGAGGAACTGCCTGATGAAGATGGTAGGACTGCTACTTCTGTTTTAATTTTTAGAATTAAAAAAGCACACTAAAATATCTTCTAAACAATGGCAAGGGGCATAACTTTGTGTGCTACGTGATTACAGTATAGAATGCTGCCAGTTGGTGAGGCTTAGTCTCAGCTATAAAAGGTCAGGAGGAGGAGGTGGTTATTTCCTCCAAGAAATTCCATTTGTCTCCTCCCAAATACAGCTGCTGTTTATGTAGCACCTACATAAAAATAATATCTACTTTTTCTGGCCCTAATCCTGGGACTGTATTGATAGATTAGAAGCATTTATTCCCATTCCCACTTTGGAAATAAATCTAAAAAAACAAGAACCAGAGAGATGCACAAGGGCAGGAAAATTCTTTGTCTTTTTAAAAAAAAAAGACTTCAAAAACTATTGTACATAACAAGAAAAGATAGACATTATTCAAGCAGTGACACAATAGGCTGAAGAGGGGAGATTGTTAAAAACAATTCAGAATAGCATGCACTGCTACACAGGAAATAAACTAGTTTCAAAATCACTGTCTGACCATACATTTATAACTTGAAAAAACCCATCAAGCAAAGTCAGTGTGATATTCCACTCTTGAAAAGTGACTGTGCACTTCCTGACAGCCTTATCAGCATCAGCCTTATCTCCCCATGTCAGTGACACAAAAAAGTGTTTACATCTTACCTCTATAGAGGCAAAACAAGACAACTGACTCAATTTCCAGGCTTGAGTGGAATTACTCACTAACATTTGCTCTATTTCAGGTTCACCAAGTACAGAGCTGTCACCAAAAATAATTTGGTCTAAAGGCCTAAGCTAGATCTCAAGTCCCACCCCTTCCCTCCTTTAAAGGCCTAGGTAAAAATTGTATCTTGAGTAGCTAACAGCCACCGTCCTCCCCAAGCTGTGTCTTTAAAGGTGCATTTCTTTTTGACACTTTTTTAATCAGGAAGGGAGACATACACATACTCTTGATTTATAGAAACCAGAAAAATTGGATACCCTTTAGACTGAAGTTTTCTTATTGAGTGCTTTAAAAGGGAATACTAGTAACATTACGTCAAGTTATTTTTCTATTGAATAATTGTTGTTAAGAACAAGCTATTTACCATTTAAATAATGTAAGCAATGGGATTAATAACAACTCAGGATGTTAACCTTTGGAGTATTAAGATCTTTACTGGATTTTTAATATGATAGTTGATTCACTGTGACTCATGCATAGGAGGAAATATATTCCAGAGAGTAAGATATTTACCCTGTAAACATGCTGTATGAATTACAAAGGATGCAATGGATGCAGTAAACATACTGGGCCAATATCTGTTTAAAAATGATGACATTTCTGGCAGCTCATCACAAATGATCTGCAGCTCTTGCTATGACTACACTGTCAGTCCGTTGTTTGTGCAGTAAGGACAAGAACTCTAAACTGAGGCTCTTGATAATACAAAACAAAACAGCAGTGTCAGAGGGCAAAATATTTTATCTCAGGGGTCACAGACAGCTTTAAATTAATTTTTAAAGGCAGTTTCAATTACTGCACCTGTCCCTGAGTCATCCTAGAAGAGTTTGATTTTTAAGCAATCACATTTTTGCATCCAGAGAGTTTCCCCACCACCACCACCCTGTTGTTTTGTGGACCTGCACAAACATGGGAAGCTGACTAAACTGAGGAAATGGGAAAACTGACTTTATACAAGGTGGTATCAGATCTATCCACTAAATAAATTGAACTCCAAATAATGCTTCCCCTAGTCTTACAAGTTACTGTAATTCACAGGATTACTGGAACATTTGGAGTTAGATGTTGTGGAGATAGCTTTACAATTCTAATTTTCATTTTTAACAAGCATTCCACCTTTTTTCAGTGGTTGCCTGAAGTTCTCTACTTCCTAAAGGAAGGAAAGGTAACGCCATCACCTATTTTTATGCCATACAGCATTCCAAAAGATCTTGCGGTAAAAGATGCTTTGAACAACAACTTAAAAATTGTCTATTACTATTAAATTTACTCGTATGTTATTTGACAGTGTAGGCCTCATGCTAAATATTTAACAAAGCCCCACTCAGAATTTAGATCTCTCTACAACAGGCTGAGAGCACACAGTTCATAATACCTGGAAGTTAGACCAAGCAAGGCATTAATTGAGATTTGTGCGTTCTCTCACAAAGCAAAGGCAAGAAATCTGTGTTTCCTAACAACAGTAGGGGTGTGTATCTATTGTGATGAGGTAGGACAGGCATTCAGACACACACCTTCTGACTTTCAGGCATGTAGTGGATTTTTGATCTCATTGTTAGGAGTGCAATGTCTTTGTCTTTTGGTTTAGATGACTTTCCAGAGTCCACCGGAGTGAAACGAATTGTACAAGCTTTGAATGCCAACGTCTGGTCCAACGTTGTCATGAAGAGTGGTACGTAACACGGGTTCCTCCTATATGAATTCTGGAGAATGTAAGGCCTAGTGGGCTTAGTATTTTTCACAAAAGTTTAAACCGCTGTCACTGCATCAGTATACAGAGAGCTAGAGCACTCTTCAACATTTTACATGGTATAGTAGGATTCCAGGTATTGTTTTCATTGTCCCATGATGCACAGAGAAACTTACAGGGAATGGGTAATATTTATCCTCATTTCAACATTTGTTCCTGTTCCCTCTGTGCTTTGACTTGCTCTCTACAAACAATTTGAGTTGAATATTCCACTAACTCTTCAGATTCCAAAGAAAAATGAAAGCTTGTTCCACAAAAATCTAGAACAAAGAGCTAGTCATTATCAGTTTGGTCTAAAAACTGATCCATGGTTTAGCGTAGAAATAGTAAGCGTTAAATTCCAAATCTGTTCTAGATTTTTTGAAAAAAATTTATAAACAGGGATGAGAATAGCAAGTATGGAGATGAGATTTGGCAAAGAAATTATTTCAGATGTCTCTTGAAAGACATACTAAGTGCATTGCAAGGAGGACTGTCTTCCCTACAGAACACCTGATGTGAGGACGTGGAAACCACAGAATTTTTTGAGAACAGTTCAAAAGCCAGGCAACCCCAGATAATTTCCTGTGGATAATTGATTATCAGGTAGAGTGAGAATTTCAGAGAAATCACTTTAGGATTAGAATCATTAGGAGGCTGTGGCTAGCCCAGAATTACTGCAGGTGTAGATACTTCCATTTACTTGAAAACCTTTAATTACCTTTCTAATAACACAAGCTGTTGCAGGAAATGGAGAAAGATTAAACTCTTGTGGAGTGCTTGGCCTTACATTTCTTGTTTCACGGAGTCTTATCCCACTAACAACCTTCCAATGTTTGTCTGCTCCCGGCTGTACAATTTTCCACTGTTGTGGCTTCTTCCTTCCTACATCTTTTAACTGTGTAATGATTTCAAGTGCTGAGAGGCTTTTGCTAGTTTCTGTAATTGCAGGATGATTACTGGGACTCAGAACTAGGACAAGAGCTACTAAACGAATAATCTTTTAAATATTTTTGAAGGTAGCCTTTTGAGTATTTCTTATACCACATCAGAATGAGGTTAAGGTTGGTTCTAACTTAACATACCCATCGCAGAGAACTAGGTAGCCATTTGAGCTGGTGTGAAGTTATCTCACTGGTGCTAAAGCAGTTTTCTTAACAGCGTATTTCCCACATTTGACAGATGCCACATTACAGAAGAACAGAACTTAGTCACACGTTCAGTTCTTTGTGGAGGGAAATTCCTGTGCATCATTAGTGTGCTGTAAAGGTCAGACTCCTTGAAAATCCACATTTTCTATCTCCACAGTGCAGAAACCACACAGCATTCATACATGTTACTACAAACCCCTCAGGAAATGAACTATATTTGGAATTTGTTGCAGCCAGACTATGCCTTCAAAAGGAAATGGTTGAGCTCATTTTTCTTAAAATGAAACTTTTTACAACCTGTAACACACCTTTTGTTTTCAGCTTCCTCCTGATCCTGGAAACTGGCTGCCATGTAAATCAAACTTCAGCTTTCCCACTGAATTACCTGTAACTGCTGGCTATTTAGAAACCATGCAGTCATACTTCATGGAAGATTTTTTCATGGAGTATAAGATATTTCTGTAATAGTAAATACTTACAGCATTTAGTGTAGCCATCCAAAAAGCCACTGTTACAGTGTCACCTTACTTCAGCTGTCTCTTTGTGTGAGAATTTACATTTTCAGACAGAGCAGGAAT